CGATCGCTTCATTAGGATATGTAGATGGAAAAATTCCTGGTGAGACTCTCTCTCTCCTCCAAGACACTTCACCGAGCTGCAGGACGCACACAGCACCCTCCTCGATGACTACGACTACGTGGCGAGGACCTACGAGCAGTACGACCGCCAGGTCTTCGACTACTGCAAGGAGGGCCTCGCACACTTCCGATTTCACCCCGACGGCCTCCCCGACCGATTCTGGCAGTGAGCATCTACAAAGCGCACAGCGTCGCTACATGTACTCCCAGATCATTCATCATGCAGCATGGCTCGGCTTTTGGAATGCGTTGTAGCTACCGGGCGTGGCTAGGCGGGAGGCGGTGCGCTTCATCGCCGTCAGCCAGTACCAGGCGGGCGCCTTCCTCAACGCCGTCCCCTCGCGCCGCGACTTTCGTATCCCGACGTGGGCGCTGCGCATCGCCGTCCAGCGGCGCCTCGGGCTACCACTTGACGAGGCGCTCGCGCGGGGCGCGCCGACCTGCTCGGCGCGCGGCGGCAAGGTGCAGGACCCACTGGGCGACGCGGCCAGCAACATCGGCCGCCTCGGGCACTGCGGCCGCCATAACAGCCTCCTCGCCGCCCTGGCCAAGGTCATGCGGAGCGTGTGGGGCATGCTCGTCGAGGTGGAGCCGCGACTAGGTCCAGCCCTGGGTGAGCCGGGTTGTGACATTTGGCGATTCCGCGGCTTACTGGGTCCCTGAGCCGCTCCCCGTGTGCGATTATTGTGGCCCAGGCATGGTACTGATAGTAAACGGGTCAGAACCGGCCAAACACAGGCTACAGCCCCACACACGCGCCCGCCATAGCTCCTGGAGAGCATGCGCGAGTGACGCGCTACAAGCCGCGAGAGTGGCATCAGAGGCAGGAACGACGTGCTCTTGCTGCACCTTGCAGCTGCACCGAGTGTGCTCGCAGTGTATGCCACGGCCGCCGCCTGCGGCATTGCTCTCGTGCAGCTAAGGCGACGCAGGTCCATCAGCAGGGCTCATCCAATGCGAGCACACATTGTGCTTAGCCGCGGGCAGGTGGCAGTGCACAGCTGCACACCGGCTGTGGCGGCTCGAATGTCCCCGGCAGTGCTGCTAGTCATCAACTTGCGTATTAGGGCCGCAGCAGACTGCTGCTGTGGCAGCAGCAGCAGCCTGCTGCTGCCTGATTCAGTCAAGCCAGCGGTGCAGCGAGGCGTGCAGAATTCGCGCGGTTTGGTACCTCCTGAGGCTGAGCGCGTTCAGACTCGGTGACCGGAGTTGGATGGTCCGATGGAGCTCGGCGAGCTCCATCGGACCATCCATGGCCGGACGGCGGAGCGTGAGGTGGCGAGCGGAGAGATGTACCGCAAGACCAAAAAAACACGGATCTGACGATTGTCAGCGCGCTCGTGTCAGCTCGCAGCTGCTCCTGGTGCCGCTGCTTGGCCGCCGCGCTCGCACTCGCTCCGCTCGATGCCATCGTGAGGCTGCAACGGTCTGCGAGCTCCTTTCGCCCAGCGGGTCCACCACAGAGTTCCCAGTCATGTGCCCAAATGCGCCCGCCGTTTTTCGTCATACCCCCCCCCCCCGGAAACCCGCCGACTTTGATTGGGTCCGGTTCAACCTCACTCTCATCTTTATACTTACAGACACAAAACATCAGATCTGCGCCACCCAGGGCTGGACCTAGTCTCCGAAAAGCGAGCGGCTAAATGCCAATATCCGCGGCATCAGAGCGACGTCAAGTGTAACAAAAAGACACGCCGGGACAAGCAACTGCATCTTGCTCAACTATGAAATCGTCCTGAGAGCTGAGACACCGGTGACCTAAATCGCATGCTAGGATGCGATTTTGCATCTACGATGCACAGGTAGGCCTAAGATGGGATGTCACCGCCCCTGACGGCGGGCGCAGGATCGGGAGGCGCTGGCTCCGGCGCGGCCGCCGTCGCCGGCGGCGCGGGCGCGGGCGCGGGTGTGGGCGCGTGGTACTGCGTCTCGCGGATGAACGCCTGCGTGTCAGCTGCCGCGGCGAGCCGCTCGAGGTACGCGCAGAGCGGTCCGTGCGGCGCCAGCTCCTGCGCGGAGCCGGGCGGCGGGGCGAGCGCGCGCCACTTTGCCGGGTGGACGGCGGTGTGCGGCGCGTTGTGCGAGCACTTGAGCGGGTCGTCGTCGACGATGGCGGTGCAGCTCGCGTCCCAGGCCGGCCAGTGCCGAAAGACGCGGGCGAGGTCTTTGCGGATCAGCGGCTTGAGCGGGCCGGCCCCCCCCGCGGGCCCGGCGGCGCCACTGCTTGCAGAGACCATCGTGCCGGTGTCGATGGTGCACTCCTCCTGCGCCCACGTGAAGAGGAGGTGCGCCTGTACGGGGGCGAGGGACGGCGCTGACGTGTCGCGGGGACGCGTCCTGGGGAACGGGTGCTGCGTCCGGGACGGGTGCTGCGAGGAGGGCGGCGCTGGACGGGTGCTGCGAGGAGGGCGGCGCTGGACGGGTGCTGCGAGGAGAATGGTACTGGTCGGGTTTTGCGAGGAGAATGGCACTGGA